TTGCTTTCTATCTCTCTGTCTCCCTCTGTCTTTTTGGCTTAGTGCATGCACCCTATAGCAAAAACCTCTAATAAATAAATAATAACTACAAGCAGAGACTTGGTTGTGTGATTTGAGGTGCATATGCAAAAGGCTTCCTAAAGAAGTGTGGGGTTTAAACCAGGAAGTGGAACAAAACCTGAAAAGCGTGACAACATGTGAATACAAGAGATAGATAATCATGGGTTTTGCACATGGAAGTTTTTAAGGATTTTAGCAAGAGTTTTGTTGGTGCATTCAAAGTGGAAATCAGATTAGAGTGTCCTAAGGGAAGAGGAGTTGGGAGGTAAAGAAATGGGGAACTAAGAGGGGAAAAGAAGATGGGGAAGAAGAGGAAAGGGGATGTAAGCTGGAGTCTAAGCATCAGAGAGCAAAAATATAAATATAGCAACGTAGTTTCAGTCATCTTGGCTGCCCATTCCCACCTCTGCCTTTAATGGAAGTAGCACTGAACGAGTTAGTTACCCCAGAGTGAGTGGGGCTTGGATGGGAACCAAAATTGCACTCATACAGGAATACTCATACTTGGTAAAATTTAATATATGCAGACTAATAAAAGTTTTATTACAAAAACCCATCCTTTGGACAAGGCTTCATGAAATACAGTGCCTCTTTTGCCTCTTTCATTTACGATGGAATTTTGCTTGTGTTTCAACTACAAGTATTTTTTTTTTAATATTCTTAGATTGCCTGGAAAGTCTTCAAAGTATTTTTCTGTTTTTCTATGCAAAAATGTGTCATGACTTTCCCGACAACCCAATATTTTTCAGACACACTGGATGACTGTTTCATAGTTAGGATAAGCATATATTGTTTCAAATTTACTGTCTTAAAATTCCATTATATGAACAAATCGGTGTGCTAATGAGATACACTAGCATTCTACTTTATTGGATTGTATAGACCTGCAACACTTCACTGGCTGATTAAATATTTAGAGAGAAAATTAACTCTTTCAAGCCATTAGCTCAGGGAATCAGCTGGGGTGGCTATTGCTAATGAAAAAAAGAAAAATAAAAACATACCTTCAATACCGTAAAAAAAAAAAAAACAAGAATAACTTGGGGATGACATTGTTCTCATCCATTTCCCCCCCCCCTTTTTTTTAATGGATACTGCTTTTTATGCATCCGTTTCCACTATCATCAAAAGTCTCTGAAATTCACATCCATTGCATGAGGCAGCACTTTAGCGACTATTATTTAGGGGGGCGGGGGGAGGAATCACTCTGCCCCTTGACTAAATGGATTCCTCCATTACTTAACAAATTACTCAGAGTCTGTTAAGTACCTGACACTCCACCCACTAAGGGCAACTATGCATCCCAGGGCCCTGAAGAGCCGGATTCCCGGTGTTAAACTGATGGGTTCACAGAAGTGGATCCAAGTACCTGGGGTATTTTCTCTGATATTGTTTCCCTTGACATCCTCCCCTTTGACTACTACATATTTTTCTACAAAGTCATTAAGAAACGGCATGTCTAATCAACTCGCAGGTGCCTCGCTGTTAAGCAGATACCGAAAACACATTGCCAAGAAAATGGGCGGAAGCCGATCCACACACCCCCGACTGCTCAGTGAGACCCCGGACTAGAAACTGATTACGGGCTATCCAGGCTATCAGAGTTCGTCGGCCTGGATGCTGATTTATTTTATTTTTCCAAAAGCTGAGCAGAAGAATGCCAGGGTTGTTTGGGAAGCTCCGAATTACAAAATCCGGAGTAAGCTGCTTCATCAGACCGACAGCTAGAAAGAAAGCCTGTTTGTAAAATAGCTCCCACCAGCTTCTTTTATGTCCGAAGTGCGATTCAATTTGCGCTGGAAAATGCGCTCCTGCCGGCGGGAAGGAAGAGGAAGGGTGTCAGAATCACCATTTCCAGGATGAATGAGCGCAGGGTCTCACAGGCGCAGAGCTGACCCCGGCACGGCCACCGTCTCTCTCCCAGATCTGAGAGACAATCCCTTGTGGCGCTCGGGGAGGAGTCTCCAGAGCAACCGGTGGGAGGCTGGCAGCCCGGGGGTGCCCCGTGGCCCCGCTACCCCAGGGCGCAAAGGTCCGTGAGGTGGCGGAGTGCAGGGAGGGCGCCTGCCTCCTCGCCAGCTCTGGCCGCGCTGGGGCGGACTTGGGCGGCCTCTGGTGCCAGCAGGAGAGAGACTTGGCATGGGGGCGGAGCAAGAGGTGGGCAGAGCCCCTCCCCCTGCTGCTATTACCTGCGGC